CCACCGAGGCATAATAATCATAATAGTTTGGTTTTACACTATGGTACAGTCCGATTCAACACAGCGTTTCGATGCGCAAAACTACAATAATAGACAGCAGCGGGACGTAAAGGAGCGCGAGGGTAGGGCGACACACGCCACGCATGCCTCAGTGTGTGAGTTACATCCGTACTAGTGATGCGCAAAATGTATCACTGAGCTGAAAAGATTGATACATATAATTTCGTTCCAAAGAAATATATCACTCATCTAACTCACTAGCTCATTTAGCTCACTAGCTCGTTTAGCTCACTAGCCCATTGATCCGATTCAATTGATTGGTCTCTTAATTAATTCATTTCTTCATTTAAATCGTTTAGTTTAGTACACTCGTATATCACTCACTTCAAGCCTCTCTCGCCATACAAACCTTTCTTTTTTTTCATATTAACCTAAATTCAGTTCTTGAAACTGCACTTTTAACATTTTTAATTTTTTTTTAAATACAATTTTATTCATTTTAATAAGATTAAATAATTATTAACACCCTTTTATATAATAATTTAAAATAAGAAATACGTATAATAGTTATTTCTTTTGTACTTTTAGGTTGTATATTAGAAATCATACATAATTACATACATAAATTGATTTTCCTTGTACTTGGCAGGCTTAATTCTTAAGTAATATTAAACTTTGTTCCTATAGAAATAATGTACATTTAGCATAAAAAAACTTGCGTGAACTCAACCATCATTATCACATATCACACTCATTTATCTTTAGCCTCACTCGCTCATGAAACAAAGATCGGCGTCGTTGAGCTAGTGATATAGTGATCTAGTGAGCTAGTACTGAGTTACTGATTTATTCGGAGCAAGTGTAAGTGAGTGATACATTTTGTCGTCGTGAATGATATATATCTTTTATATCACTCACTCAGGAGCTACACAACTCTAATCCGTACACTGCACATGCGCGCATATTCCTGTCTACGTATAGTCGAGTTGACTTGACTGTAGGCGCCTAAAGGCTAATTTCAGAGCCGCTAGTAAGCTTGCATCGGACTTTAGGTAATAGGTAATCTACCTCTTATTTTGAGATTCTTCACTGAATGCAACAAGTTGTAAATAACCTTCTTTTTTCACAGTCATTTATTTTTTTGCAAACTGTCCTCACAAGACGTGTTTTTGTAAGAAAATGTTGGTATGGAATGAGTTAAGAATAGCAAACTAAACAAAAAGGGATCAGTTATAAAATGTCCCGGGATGAATGTGGAACAAAAACTGGGATCAGTTAAGAAAATGACTCGGTGGGATGAGATTTAATGGGATGAAGACGGAACAACCCGTTAAAAGAATGTCTATGTTACTCGCTGACAATGTGGCTTTCCATTGGTGAAAGAATTCTAAAATAGGTTTTGTGGTTCAGGCGTGAAAGCGTAACAAACAAACATACAAAGTCACTTTCACATTTATAATATCAGTAGGGAAGTATGGATAAGGAACAGGTTTAATTCTGTACATTGAAGATGGTAAAAAAAACTTTCATGAGCGCTCTGTAATCGATTATGAAGCCAAAACTATATTTTGTTTCCGTCTACCTGTAATCAAGTCATGGTATGTAAGATATCAAACCTACCATTAGTTTAATTTTGTACGAAAAGTTTACACCCTGTCTCGATAGATGGCGCTGTCGTTGATTTTAAAGGCACGCTAATGTATTCTTACCGTGTAATGTATAAGATGTCACGATAACGTTCATTAAATGCTCAAAGAATTTAGAGCACGTACTGAGCTGCTGATTACGAGCACTAAATTCTTTGATCCTCCCTTTTTTTTATTACTATAACATACACCGTACTCGTCGTCTAAAAAGGGTGTAAAAGATCTTCAATGATCAACCTATCTGTTCCCTTCATCCAGATATACTGAATATCAAAGCTCGAGCTCAAAAGTATCATAGCCACGAAAGATGGAATTTAGAAACATTCTGAACATTTTGTAGGTACTGCTGTAATGTACAGATTGATGAAAGCTTAGACAAAAAACAAACTACCTGAAGTGTTTGTTTCATCCGGACGAAATCGCGGTCACCAGCTTATATTTAATACTAGCTTTTGTCAGCGACTCCGCCCGCATGTATGTTGGTTATCGCGGTAAAAAGAAGTATATTTGATATATAATAATATGTGCATTGTGTGTCCCGGATGACGTCAGCGCACTCCGGGCGCGGCGCGCTCCCGCTGCATTTACTCAGTAATAAATCAGCTCGATACATACTCGGTTGTTTAATTTGTTAGCATACATATCAATATTACTTGCTGATGATGTAGCTTTCAATTGATGAAAGCGTAACAAACAGACACACGTTCACAGTTACAATATAAGTAGGGATGAAGTAGTAATGAACATTTCATTTAAATGCTCATTCGGCTGCCAGTAGACCACAGAGTAAATAGTTATATACTGAAAAAGAGGTATATCTCAATCGCTTTTGGAGAAAATTCCATAAAAACGCCATCTGTTGCGCCAGCAACTTTCAAACACTCAACATTTGATGGGATATATTTATACACTACATATTATTACATAGTATAAAACAAAGTCGCTTCCCGCTGTCACTCTCTCCCTATGTATGCCTAGATCTTTTAAACTACGCAACGGATTTTGATGCCTTTTTTTCAACAGACAGAGTGATTCAAGAGGAAGGTTTGTATGTTTAATACATGCATAATATAGTAGAGAAACACTGATAATTTTAGAGGTTTCTAATGTGATGTCGTAAATAAACACTTTATTTTTGCGTAAAATAATGTACTCCAGTATTGTACTACATTATTTTACGCAACACAGAGGACGATATAATGCGCCTGCCACGAGTGAAGTAGCAGTGGTGATAGCTGGACAGCAATTTGACAAAAGAGATAATATGTTGAATACTCGTGATGATAATTAAAGTTAAAGAAAAAGATCCTGTCCTGTTCGAAATCGGGACTGCGGGACTTTAAACCCTAATTCTCCATGTATGCAAGATTCCAAATTCCGAAGTCGTTCCAAACTTAAACATCTACTAGCGATGACGGATATCCCAAATATCGTCGACGATCGTCAGAACAGGGTGGGCAAAGGGCCACCGTCCGAAAGCATGATATTGATAACCGATGGATCGTTTCCTATAATTCCCTCCTTTTTGATGCTCACATCAACGTAGATTTGTGCAGTTCATCATCATCATCAACAGCCTTTAATAGTCCACTGCTGGACATAGGCCTCTCCTTAGAAATGAGGTTTTGGCCTACTATACCACGCTGGCCAGACGGGTTGGTATTGGGTTTGTTTCAAGTTTTCCTTCTATCTGCAGTGCTGTTGTCCTGCAGAGTTTGCTCCCTTAGTCGCCTCTTACGACACCCACAAAGTGCTGTTCAATAAAGTCAATCCAATATGTTACTAAGTGGAGATAGGCACCCAGCCAGAGATATAGTTATTGAGAACTACAGCTTGAGTCCTATTCTCCAAATACGAGGAAAACCACCGCAGCAAGTCACCGTGGATACCCATGCTATTTAACTTTAATAGAAGGATATCATGGTCTATACGGTCAAAGGCCTTGCTGTAATCAGTATAGACCACATCAACCTGCTTACCTTTGTCCATAGTTTGACAAAGATATATTGTTGTGTGTCAGAGAACTAAACAAGTCGTAAAAAGAATGCGAGGTAGTTTAACATCACTTTTTGTAGAATGTTCTAGACCACTTACAGGTGTCGATGTTTGCCGGTGTACATACGGTAGAAGAGCCTCTTTCAAACTAGATTTGTATTGTATATATAATTCTTCAAACTCCTCGTACGTATCTTCTATCAAATAAGAATCTTCCCTGTCTTCATCTTTAGTCATTTTTGAAATTACATGTTTGTTTCCCTCCTTAAAGGCCTTCCAAAGATCTTCTAATGATTCTAACCTGTCTCTAGGCGGGTGTAAACTTTAGTTTTCGGCAAATTCCGGGTTTGAAGTTTATATTGCACCAGGGACCGCATTTTTTTCCAGGTTTATTATTTTAAATAAATGTTTTAACAATCATGTCGATTTTCCCTATTACGTACCTAACCAAACTGTCTGTACAGGTTGTACATAACCTCACCTGGGGGAGTGACCACAATAATTCAATCTACCCACACAAAATAGATCATCTGATAGTCAATTTTGTACGAAGAGTCTAATATTAAGGATTAAGTGTTTTGTAATCGTGACATTGTTCCTCTAATGACAGTCAATCATATGGTTATGTACTAACTACCCGTGTCCACTTCACTCGACGTCTTTTACACTCTGTAATTTCACTGATTACCCTGTAGGTATCAACTGCTTTTATTTGTTCTTGAATTTTTTTAAATCAGGAAAACCAAAATGATCCACACAAGAAAACAATAACTGTATTTTAATTTAAGAAACTTAATATCATGTACTCAAAACCATTGCACGAAGCGGCGTAGTGGTTTAAGCGGTCACCTCCCCGCTTCCTATTGCTCTGAGTGTTGTGGGTTCGATCCCCACATGGCACAACACTGTGTGATCCACAAATTGTTGGTCTGAATCTGAGTGTTCTTTGTGTCCATTTCATGTATGTATGTAAAGTCCTCCGCGACACAGTAATTGTTCCTAGTGCGGGGGTTTTACTTTAAAAAAAGACCTATATGATGATGACCTGTATGATCATACGACGATTGATCCTATTCTCGGTCATTTTCTCTCTGTGCTAAACTACATAGTGAATTTTTTACTTTGACTTCTAACTCAAGTGTGTAATAATTAGACGACAGTAAAAACTAATTTGACTTAATCATTGTAGCATTTATTAGTTTTGGTTAATTTAATTAAGGAATTTTTGCACTTAAAAACTCTTTCGTTACATTTACTCATTATAATAATAACCGGTAAGATACGGTTATTATCCGAACCTTTATATACTGTGTAACATCACTATGTGACACAGTTCAGAACTGTTCTCCTACATCTGCCATGTTCGGTAAACTGCATCTGCTCCTTGCTACGACTTGTATCCTTGCTTTGATTGTGCAGGGGTACTCGGAATGCCCTATTGCAAAATGGGGTAAGTTCTACAACTTGTAATACACAACTTATTTATTTATAAATATAAAATTGTTAAGTTGAAACCAACTTACGTATGTGTACGCTTTAAAAACTCAAAAAGTACTGCTCCGATTGAACTCAAATTTTGACACGACCACATACAAACTGCTTCGAAGATTGTTTTTGAAACGAAGTTCCTTAAAGCGCGTTACACGCTGAGAGCGTGACTGAAAAAATTGTAACAAGATTTTTTACCGACACTTCAGTTGGCGCGTCAATGCTGACATCTTTTTCATATTTCATACATATAGCAACCGTGTAACAAAAAGCGAAATGAACTAAGTTCCGATCGCCGAGGTCCATTGACGCCGTTTTATCTATTTTTCGTGTCAGTTTTGTTCCTCATTTCTCCTCAATGACACTACAATATGACACATCAAAGCGTGGTAGGGTACGGCTAGTATAAATATAAAATTGTTAAGAGTTAGTTTGCATACGCATCTTTCAAAAATTCAAAAAGTTCTGCACCGATTGAGTTTAAATTTTGACACGATATACAACCCACTGCAAAAATTGTTGTTAATTCAACGTTAAACGATGAGGGAATGGTAGGTGTGCGCCTTACCTCTCTGGTAAAAATATTTAAAAATCTCATGTCAATTTCTTCCATATTTCACATTTTTATTGACAAACGAGGCAAACTGACAATTTGTACTACTTTTTTTTAGTGCTGTGATGACGGGTGAGCGTGAATAGGTGTTTTCTTCTTAAGGTAAAAAAGAAGAAAAATAAAACGAGCAGGCGGGTCACCTGATGGTAAGTGACTCCCCTTAGTTAGGTTAGGGCGCCGACAACCTCACGCACTCGGTGAAAAGTGATGAAAGCAGGTCGCGGGTTCCATTCTTAATACCCCAGAACATACAACTGTGTGATGAGCACCAACATTTTTATGTCTTTGTGTAATTTATCGTTAATGTGTATGTATTTTTTTTTTTTGAAAACTTACAGTATATAAGTATGTTTATCAGGAGGCTAATTGACATAGTACATAAACTCTGCCCAGTTTGGCAGTAAACAACTTGTGTCAAGTTATTAATAATAATAATTTGGCACACCTTGTTGATAGATGACGATCAACAAGGTTCATCGCTAAGAGCCTCGGCCTCGACCAACATCTCAGAGGCACTCGTTAGGCAGCGGTTCTTCTCAATACGGCACGCATTGTGAGGAGGTTTCTATCTGTGGAGTCCTATAACCGGTATCTTGGTCCCTGTACCCGGTACCGATGGGACACTATTTTTAAATATATATATATTTTTGTCACAAATGTATTTAAAAATATAATTTATATGTCCATTTAATGAAATAAAGAGAATCATAATTTAGTACAGAAAACTGTTTCCATAGACATCAAACAATAATTCATTATATTACATAAGGTTCATTTTACATTAAAAAAATATATTAGAATAAATTATTTAATTACTTCATTGTTTAAACTTAAGACGTCATAAAATCAAGTAAAAAAAAAACATAAAACATTACCCTACATAGTTAAAATTTGATTTCATGAATTAAATTACATTCATCAATGTTAGTTTATGGTAACGGGGTGGAAAATCTTTCGCCCATTAGGGGGTTGCGAAAGGGTCTGTCTGACTTTTTCCGACTAAAAACTCCCCCGGATGTGTTCTCCTTGCCAATGGGCAGGGGAGCAAGAATCGCAATTGCATTCTGCCGCCACCCGACAGGCAACATTTATCAATGATAGCTATGTCTAACCCAACCAGTACAGTCGTCCAATGATGGCTGATTAATTTATAATTGTTTTTATGATGATGATTACTATTTCGGAAATGTTTAGGACATACAACTTCGGATATATCAATCATTGGCCCCCTGGTGATCGATGGGAACAACCGTGAAATCGACCTTAAAATACCTGTAAGTAACTTTTATCCATTTTTCGTTGTATTTATTATTCTTATTGTGAAAGAGCAATGCTTCGTCACAAATGGGCCAGAATGAGTGATACTGCGGCCTTACAGAAAACCAGTGTTAAGCAGTTACTTCGCTGCTTTTTGCCGAGAGAGTGATGTTTTGGAAGCCCAAAACCTTCCTGCCCTCTGATTCTTAAGGGAGGGACTGGAAGAGGCAACGCACTTGTGACTTGAGTTTCAGGGGTTCATGGGCGGCGGTAGTTACTTACCATGAACCGGTAAACCGTCTGCTTATTTGTCCCCCTATACCATAAAAACATATTAAACACTGTTCGGGATAGACTACTAGCATTCTCGGAGACTTCCTTTTTAGATTGTTGTCAGCCCTTTTGCACCCGTGGGGGAACACCCTCTAACCAGAGGGTGTCCAGTCAGTCCAGGGTGTCCAGAGTCGGTTCGTACAGTTTGACAATGAATGTAGTAGGATGAAATAATAGGAGCTATAGTTGAATGCTGGAATATGGATCACCCGAAGGCATTAGGCAGACTAAGGGAGCAAACTACGCATGACAACAGCACTTCAAAAGAAGGAAAACTTAACACAAACCCTATACCACCCCCGTAATTTTGTGGTAGGGGGCTTAGCCCTCCGGTAACTTCACTTGGAGAAAAGCAATAGTAGTGTCACTGACTACTAAGCCAGAGGTCGTGGGTTCGATTCCCACCCAGGAGAAATAATTGTGTTAGGAGCACGTTGTGTTATGAGTTTGTGACTGCATGGATGGCGTAGTGGTTTAAGCGGTCACCTCCCCGCTTCCTATTGCGCTGAGTGTTGTGGGTTCGATCACCACATGGCACAACACTGTGTGATCCACAAATTGTTGTTCTGAGTCTGGGTGTTCTTTGTGCCTGTTTCATGTATGTTTGTAAAGTCCCCGCGACACAGGATATATTCCTAATGCAGGAGTTGCCTTTTAAAAAAAACGACATTTGTCTGTGTCTGGGTTTAATTTATCTATAATATGTATGTATTTAGAAATATTTAATTAGTGTGTGTGTGTGTGTGTGTGTATTACTAGTGTGTGTGTGTAATACTATTATTAATCTTGTCTCTGATTGTTTACAGTATCCCCAACTCCTAGGCTGTGACGTAGTTGGCGTCAGTGCCTTCACTTGCGATTACGGTTTAGACACCAAGTTGCACTTTGTTGAACGCTTCACCGTTCATGTAAGCCGCAAACACGGATTCGCTTCAACTTTGTACGGCATTGCATACTGCTCGCCGGTGGTTCCCCATCCTTCTCATGCAGCAAATGTGCCGAACAACTTGCAGCTGGGACTTAAAAGTATTGCTCGGCCGCTAGTAGGCTACAATCATTAGAGAGCAGACCAGATAGTAAAGTCAAAATTTTGTTATTTCATAAAAAAAATATTTCAAATCGTCTCTGTTAAAAAAGGCTAATAGCCAAATCATGCGACCCCACAGGCCATCTACAATAATTTTTATATTTTAGTCGTGTCTATGCCACCACTTGAAAAGCAAAATATACTCATGTCTATTTGATCTGTTCCTGTACACAGTTGTTTTATTTTTACAAAACCTAAAGCTATATCGTTTTAAAAGGTTTTTTATTCAGGATTCGTTTTAGAAAGAAACTTTTTAATTATCGAACATATTAGAACAGTTAAAGAAAAATCTAAAAAGAGTTTGTATACATTGACGAGGATATCAACTGCGACATGCGGTCTATCATTTAATACACTAAAGATCATAACGGAGCTACTTATCTCACGTTCTATGTGCTATGGTGCACTAGCATGGGCCGATAGGGCAACTGCAGGCGCCATCCATCGTAGACTGTTAAAAGGCCAACGACTCGCACAGTTATACTTGTGCAAGGCATATAGGACGGTTAGCACCCTTAATATTTTCCGTCCGTAGTGCTTCCCTGTTTAAAGTTGTGTATGTCTGCTTTTACTTTATTTTGTCTCCCGTTTTGGTGAAGAGGAAAATTGATTTATTATATTTCCAACTCCTCCAATTTTCTTCTTATCAATTTCGTCGCTGGTTCCAAGACAGTTTGATTTTTCCTGCAACTCATAGCTCCACTGTGTTAGTGTTAGTTACAGTGGTGGGCGTATGAGAGGGATTAAACCCCTTAAAACAAAATGTGGTAATAAGCAGACAGCAGTTGACATTAGGATACTGCAACTTAGATAAATTACAAACCGGACTACACTTTAAGCGGTCACCTCGCCGCTTCCTACTGCGCTGAGTGTTGTGGGTTCGATCCTCACATAGGACAATATTTTATGTGATCCACAAATTGTTGTTCTGAGTCTAGGTATTCTTTGTGTCCGTTGCATGTAAGTTTGTAAAGTCCCACGCGACACAGAATATATTCCGAGTGCGGGAGTTGTCCCGCGGATTCTGTGTCGCGTGGGACTTTCTCTCTTAAGAACAACACGAGACAACTCTCTTAAGAAAGAAAATAAAAAACTGCTCTGCTAGTCCGGTCGGATCGAGACGACCCATATATATGCCATAACCATGGCCCATTCTATACGAAATATTCAAACCAAAGACAATTGCCTACAGGCCCAAGGTTATAAGGAGTAATTGTACGATATAGAAGCTGTAACAATATCCTCTCAAATAATGCGCAACTGAGAAGTAATTAAAAGCGATTAGTCATTGGCCATGGCGGCGTAAGATATATTACACACTGCGTTCACTGTCATACAATAGTAATAATAATAACTTGACACATCCCACATATGGCCGGACGGTCCCATACTAATCCTATAGTGACCAGACTGCTGATGAACTTACTAATATATATTTACTAGCTGACCCGGCAAACGTTGTTTTGCCATAGGTAAACATTACTTCTAGGAAATATAAAAAAAGGGGTAGGTCACCCTTGTCATTTAGGGGTATGAAAAATAGATGTTGGCCGATTCTCAGACCTACCCGATGTGCACACAAAATTTCATAAAAATCGGTCCAGTCGTTTCGGAGGAGTATGGTAACTAACATTGTGACACGAGAATTTTATATATAAGATTAATTTATTACATACTATGGAACATTTACAGATATGACGATCAGAATAAAAGCAGTTTTTTTTCTGAAATCCCCTCGGATACCACCCACCGGTGGCTATTTCGGACTCGAACCGACTAAACACCGTACGCCGTCTCGGGTACCAGTGGCCGGGGAACCACGTGTACCCTAGAAAAGAAATCCCAGGAACCCCTAAAGAATTTAAGGATTAAGCACCTCCTCGCTCCCGATACACTTATATATATTTATATATATATTACTGAATACATACATCTATTAAAAAAAATGAATCTTCAATTATGTTGCTAATTGAGGCTCGAGCAATTCGGTAATTTTTATTTTCATATTTACGTTACGAAGAGAAAAACGTAAACATTATGAAGCAAATAGAAAACCACCTTTTTTCTTGTCAAATACAACATACCTATGGACCTATATCCAGCACCACTACTATACTACGCTGACTAGACCGAAAACCGATTTTATACTTCGGTCCTGTACTTTAAAGAAAAAAAAAGATAGAAAAATTAAGGAATGAAGAAGATTTCATCAAAATTTTGGCTCATTGAAGTCGGTGATACCTTTTATGAGAGGCCTATGTTTAGCCAGTTGGCTCCTGGGGGCTGTTGATGATGATGAAAGTTAACTATTGCATAAAAATTATTGAGTGAAATAAAAAATGAGAAATCAGTTAGATACAAAGCTTCACTAAATTTGAAGATTATAGTTCGTTTAATCAATATCGGTACTGAGTAGAAGCGTCTTTATACCTAACATTTAATTATTTTTTTACGGAATCATTCTAACAAGACAATCAAAAGTACATAATTGTCAATGTACGACACAGATTATATTACTTGTCAATGAGTTAAATGTAAGACTGGAAGAGTCTGTATTAGTAACACCCGCATATAAATTCACTGGAAGTAAATGGATTTAATTTCGGGTATATTCTATTATTTTATACGTAAGTACAGTTCAAGGAAACCTGTCTGTCACTAACTGAAATAGTAAGTTGTAAGGTCTTTCCAAGGTAGTTTCATCGCACATCACTTAAGTTTCTCCTTTGCCGAGGGAGAGCTCGACTGGAGTGTTACAACCACCTCACAGCAAATCAGTGTTAAGCAATTCTTTCGTTGCTTTGCACCGAGTAAGGGAGGAGCCCAAAATATCCTCTCTTCCCGAGAAGGAGGAGGGGGCAGGATTCAAAGGGCGGCTATCCACTGATGGGTAGTAGGAGTCCATAGCGGCAGTCATTTAACATCAACCCGTCGCCGCGTTTTTAGTCGATTTAAAAAAAAGTTAATGAGTCTTTCAGTGGGGACGGCTAATTAAAGAGACAAACAAGAACGTAAAATAGATATTGTAGGTACATTTCCAATGTGTTTTCCTGTATGTCCTACTTTTAAATGGTTTAAGATATAACCCGCTGACCCAGCGCATTGTAGTGGACCGAATTGTGACTCTAAACCATTCTCGAATCATCTTGAACACACACGCACACAAAATTTTATCAAAAAGGGTCAAGCCGTTTAGGAGTAGTTCAATCACATACACATACACACACACAGAAGAATTATTTATATAAAGATAATAATTAGTCACACATCTCTTAAGGTATGTAAGTTCAAAGTCGGTTGGAATATTTTGTATATTCCGCCTGGGTTCTGAAATATATCAGGCGGAATATACAAAATATTCCGACCCTTACACAGTACATATTTGAAAAAATATTATCCTCATTTGTAATGTAATTCTTTGCTACCTACTATGTAACACAATAACATATATAATTCAAAATGGTCCAATAACCTTTCAACACAATTATTCATGGCGCGACACCTACTATTTAAGTTGCGAATAGGTACATGGATTTAAAAGTTCTATCTTGTGTACATCGGATAACCATTTTATTGATAACCTTTTTTGTACAGCACTCTTTAATGTATTTGAACCAGGAAATTATTATCCATTCTCCCCTATGAGGAACGTAGTGTTTTTTATGGTATTGGTAGGAACGCCTCAGGTCACCTGACGGTAAGTGACTAGCGCCCCGGCAAAAACTTGTGTGATGAGCACAATCATTTGTTCTGTGTCTGGGTGTTATTTATTTATAATATACAAAGCATGTTTATCAGCAGTCTAGCTGACAAATCACAATCTCTGTCTAGTTAGGGATCAGACGGCCGTGCGTGAAAAGTGTGTCCTATTATTGTTTTATTTTGTTGTACAGTAATCCTGGTTCTTGCACCGAATCCTGGGTTAAGCAAGGACTACGCAAACACGGATGTATTCGCAAATAACAGAAGATATTATATTATAACCAAAAAAGAGCTGTCGGGTTTCGCTCCAAATATGGACAGGAAGACGAAGAGAAAAGTCAACTTTAAGCACATTCCTTCACTTTGGACAAATAAATGAAATCAATCAGAATAAACCCTTTTTTTACTACATAACAAATATTTCTGAAGAAAATTTATAAAAATAAATAATACCTTGACTTGACTGCGGCCTATTGGTCTACTGTTTAGTGGGTCTACTAAACTGGAGGTCGTGAATTCGATTCCCACCCAGGACAAATACTGTGTGATGAGCACGATCATTTGTTCTGTGTCGGGGTGTAATTTATCCATGGATCACATATCCATGGATAAATTACACCATTATTTACATTATTATTTAGAAATATATAAGTATGTTCATTAACATACTGGTTATCATAGCACAGGCTCTGCCTACATCGGGATCAGACTGCCGTGTGTAAGATATATATCTCACTCACGGCAGTCTGATCACTCAAGTTATTATTATTATTAATTTTATATGTATACAAGGTTGAGATATTATCAGGAGTAGTTGGAGCCTTGATTAATAAACCTTACCTTGTCAATTGATAAGTCGTTTTAAAAAAAATAACAACCTACGCAATAGCGCAATAGTCCACACTAACAAGCAATTACTGCTCCATATACCAGTCTTACGACGGCCGCCACAAACACTACTTCTTCTATGGATAGTAAAAAAATATTACAACTATGTACAGTAAGTATTCTTTTCAAATTAATATCTGTTTTCTAGCTTTTTTGTACTACTGTGACAGAGCTATGCATTGAAACACCGGCTCGACCGGAGTAATGGCACGGCCTCATACAAAACCGGTGTTAAGCAATTTTTTTGTTGCCATTCACCGAGTAAGTGAGGTTATCGGAGGCCCAGCGACTCCCTCCTACTTCGAGGGGGGCACTGGAAGCGCAATAATGCACTTACCTTAAAATAAAGGTAAAACAATCGTAAATATACGAGTATCATAAATACCGAGCCCACTACGCCTCAGTCGCTTCGTAGACAGCGGATGATTTAACTATATTATTTATTTAAACTATATTATTTATTCCCGCGTGGTGACGGATTAAGAATAAGGAGTGTCACCAGCCCTATCCATCCCACGGGGGTCGTACGGGAGCAAACTAGGCAGGACAATAGCACTGCAAAGAGGAGGAAAACTTTAAATAAACCCTATACCAACTCGTCTTTCCAGGGTGGTATAGTAGGCCAAAACCTCCTTTCTAGGAGGGGAGAAGCTGAGACCTATGTCCAGCAATGGACTATTAAAGGCTGTTTATGATGTTTATAATATTATTTATTTGTGTAATGTAAATTGAAGAGGCTCCTGGCTACATGGTAACTGAGTAGGTTTACACATTGCAAAGTTAAGCAATCATAGCCAGGTCAATCTATCAGTACCTCGGAGAGCACGTTAAGCCATCGGTCTCGGATGCCAACAGCTGTGGCCATCGCTACGGGTATTTGGAGCCTTAAAGGTCCGACAACGGTCTTTCTACAGAACTTCGATATTGTCTAGTGCATGGGTTGTGGTGGTCTGATGGAAGTCGCTCCGCGTAACAAATCAAAGTTGTAGTAAACTTAAAGCCGTCCCTAACCTAGTTTGGGAAAAAGGCTCGGAGGTAAAAGAAGAAGAAGATTTGCAAAACGTTAATTGTTATTCTGTGTAATGGTGCATATTTAAAAAAAAACTTTACGCTGTAAGTGATAGTTTATATAGTAAAAAATAGGACCCTAACAACAAAATCTAGTTGCTTATCGATTGGGTCTTTGAATCCATACGGTTTATGTAGATATTTTTGGGATAAGTTTAGCATGTCTCAGCATGGAGGGATGGTCATGAGGATGCATTTGTGCCCTAGCAATCAAAGAGTTTAATTCATTTTATACGTCGACGGCGAAGAACCTACCTTTTTGAGCTAGGCACCTGAGAATCTAGGCACTTTATTAAGTTACCCTCAATTTACTTGAATTTGGTTTGTAGTGCGTCACGAGGGCCACATCCCTTATATCTTGGCCCTGTGTAGTATTGAACAACCCTATATAATTAATTCCCTTAAACATAATTACGTGGGGCATACTGAAAGTCTCTGGATTGCCAAATGGCTACTTACAATAAAAGAATGAAAAAATCCCTAGTCCCTATGAAAGACTGGTCACAGTGGTTTCAGCGAATGCAAAAATGCATTAATTGCGAGGGAATATACTTAGAAAAACAATAAATGTATCGTAAGAATTATATCTAGTCTTATTTTTTAGAATCCAGAACTTGCAGTATGCCCTAAGTATATATTATTGAACGCGATTCTTTAAAGTTAGTTGAAGACTGAAGTACCTTGTGTAAAACAGTTTGATTTGACAGCAGCAAGGTAGCTTCAGTTCAATTCTTTTAACACGTAATTTAAGCTCTTTATGAATACTTTATCCTGCTTGTGACTAGTCTTCCCTACTAGTCTCCTTATACGTGTCTCCTAAATAGACCAGTACCACCTTTTTTTTTTTTTTTTTCGTGCGGAAATCCCCTCGGATACCACCTATCGGTGGCATGTCGGACTCGAATCGACTAAAACCGCACGCCGTCTCGGGTACTAATAGCCGGAGAACCAGGTATACCCTAGAAAGGATGTCCCTGGTGCACCGACATACCTCGGGCCATCTAGAGACGAGTAGACGACCTCCCCGTGTGGGAACCCATGTTCCCTCTGCTCCCCGGAAGCGAGCGCGTTGCGAAGCGCGCTCGCTTCGCAACGCCGCCACCCCGGTCTACTTCTGCTAGGGTGACAGATGGCCTCACCTGTCACCCCCAGGCCTGCGCTTATGGAGGACGGAGGTCATTCTGCGACCTCCGGCGCCTGAGTCGCCTGCGGTACCTGGCCCGTTCCCGGGCCTGGCGGGCCGGGAGAGTTCTAAACCTCTCCCGGTCCCGCTCCGCCGTCTCCTTCGCGAGCATAACTTGCTCGCAGAAGGAGACGGCAGAGTTCCACGCACTCTCGATCGATCTCGATCTCGAGAGAACTCCCACTCCGATGGCCGCCACGAGGTCTCGCCTCTGCTCAACCCACGCCGGGCACTCCGCCAGCGTGTGGAGAGCCGTGTCCACGGTCTGGCCATCGCAGTGGTGGCACTCAGTCGTTGGCTCCTTGCGGATCAGACACAGGTGTCGACAGACAGACCTGCGTCAGTCGGTATGAGAGGGTCCCGTGACGCCTCTCGAGCCAATCCTCCATAACGGGTCTTACCGCCGCGATGACGGCGTGCCCGGCGCTCGGTTGCCCGAGTCGTTCCCTCCACTCCCCTATGATGACCTGGCGGAGTTGGGATTTCCGGTTATCGATTTCTCGAACCTCGGGACATCGACCCAACTCCCACGCCTCCTTGCGCCACTGATACAGGGCCGCAAGGGCTCTCGCCTCCAGGTCCCACGGTGGAGTTCCGGCCAGGAGACTCGCCGCCTCAAAGGAGATCGTGCGGTACCCCCTTATGATCCTGATGGAGACCAGCAACACCTGAGCAGCTTGCTATTGTAGGCTATATAAACTAATATTATAAAGCTGAAGAGTTTGATTGTTTGGTTGAACAAGCTAATCTCAGGAACTACAGGTCCGATTTTTGAAAAATTCTTTCAGTGTTAGATAGCCCTTTTATCGAGAAGGGCTATAGGCTATATACCATCAAGCTACGACACAATAGGAGCAGAATATCACTAAAAATGTTGCAAAAACGGGGGAAAATGATTCTTTTTGAGAGCTTCCGTTGCGTGCGCTGCGTAAATGGTTTAACTTTCGCTAAAATTATATATGATAGAATTGTTCCCCTTCAAAAGTTCAAAAAAAAAGTCCGGGGCAGCATACGTCTAACTTTTAAGGTTGGCTTATTATAACTCTTTTTGGGGTTATCAAATTTATTCTAAAATAATGCATTATTGTCGAAGGTGTTTTTATGAACATAATATTAATTCTTATCCAAATAAATACAATATTCATAAAATTACTTTACAGCCCAACTCCTTAACATACTTAGACTTTACATTTACTTTCAACTACTACGCGAACGAAGTCGCGGACAAAAGTTAGTATTATATATGTGGTAATGAGGACAGGTTAGGCGATAAGATAGAATCCCGAGTTACGCAAGCGTTTGTGTACTGACCTCCCTTTAAACCTAAGGCACTGACTCGAACATATTTCTTGAGAACCAACACAGGAATCAGAGCTCAACACCACTGATTTGCCGGTAATCGAGTAACCGTGTTTGACGCAAGGATAGCGTTGCCTGATACAGTTAACAAGCATTCCCATCAGTTGTAACTATTTGTTGATATGTCTTTATTCAACCATTCTGAACCAGTAAAACGTTTTCTCCAGCGGCTTTAGAGAAAGAGCGTCAAAATCCCACTGGATATCCGAAGGTATTTCCCACATCATCAACAAAAAAAGAAACCCTCAAAGACACTTTACAAGTCCCATATAAATATCAGTTTTTCTTAAAAACCATTTTTTTCCATTCCTTGTTTATTTTTGCAGCTATTATTTACTTTACACATAACAAGAGCAAGCAACGATGTCTCGTCATTTCAATTGGTGAGTTTGTTATTAAAAATATTATGACGATTTTCCAGTAGTTTCTGAGCAAGTTCTTTCTTGAGTTCGTTCTTTCTTTCTTCTCTTTTCATTTCATTTCGTTCCAAAAGAATCACTTGTTTAATATACCTTACTTGTATGAACAGTGTATAAATGCACAAAAATTATTAAATATATTTTACGTTGACTCTAAAAGAACCCAATATCTCGAGATCACTGTGTACAAAATTATAACAACAGATTAGAGTGAAATTGGATTATCTCATTAAAAAATAATATATAAAATCAATTATACTTATCATGCGTTAGCTCAAACTATTAACAAAATTAAATTAAATTTTATTCATCGGGCCTTCGCAACATCTAAACTCAGGCCAAAATAATTATCATTTCATGTCATTTCCCAATTACATAATCTTATGTGTAAAGATATGTTGTGGTTATCAATACATGTGCTACAGATAATTAATTAAATATGTTTGTCTCAGCTCGCTCGACTTTCGTTCCCCACTGTCGAAACTGTGAGTAAATAAATTATTTTTTTAAATCAGTACTTCACTTGATGCTGCGGCTATTATAATAATACTGTTTTTTTTTTACATTTAGAAACCATACAACATGCCGGGACCAAAAGATATTGACCCGCGGTTCAACTACGCCGAAGAGAAATTCAAGAGCTTGAAAGAATACACAGACTTCTTGAACAGTCGAATGAAAGAACCACACAATCCTGTAATTAAAAACATTTGATACTTAGATTTAATTTAATAATTAAAACTCATTTATTTTGTTTACACTTAGATTCTTGAATTGATCTTCCTAACTAACGTGTGCTTTTAGTCAGAACGTCGTGAGATCCTGGAAGTGGCTTTCAAAAAGCTGTTCTACTTTATTGAGCTGCACTTGAAGGATCTAAAGCGTTTACTGTTCGCGACTGACATGGCGCTCATGTCGATGGTGCTGTTGAAACTCAACAAGAAGATGGACACCTCCGAGGCCAAGATAAAGTCTACACAAGCAAAGATTCCCTTCGGCTTGTATACTAGTCCAGGTATGTTATGATTTTCTTTATAAAATATATTTGTCCCGTGTATTTTGACTGATTTGTTAGTCTTTGAAATTTACCAACCTTTCACCAAACCACCAAAGTTTAAATAATTAATGTGCTATAAATGTTTATATGGCTACTGTCAGTATGTTCATTATAAAGGAAACGTGGTACAAATCCTCAAACATGGAGCAGTTAGTGTGTGTATGTTAAATATCATATTGATATCAATTGGCAAGATATGTCATGCTCTAAACCAATCTCGCCAGATTAATGCCCAATTGGACTTGAATCACAATGATAGTTTCATCATAGAGACCCATCGTTGCCCACTTCTTAAAACACTTATATTTTTAATGCAAGTTTTTTATTGATAGATAATACCTATTTTATGTCTACACTAGGGTGTTTATATTATATATGTAATGTTTATATATATAATATACTAGCTATTTCCTTTTGAGATTTTGAAGCGTACACGAACCAACATAACTTTTTTAATAAATTTAGATAATAATGTAGACAGAGAGTGCTTTTACCACTTAGAGTACTCTCTTCCACACAACCTTAAGATGGACTAGAATAATTTTCAACTGATGGATATTATGTGCAAATTTACGGAATAAATATATAAGGTCTTTTCCCAAACTAGGTTGGGGTCGGCTTTTAGTCTACTGCGACACGGCTAAAACTTTGATTTTTTACGTGGACCGACAGCCATCAGACCTCCACTACCTGAGTAGTAGGCGATATCGAAGTTCTGTGGACAGACTAATGAATGTCACAGATGTTCGTATGACAACCGAGACCCTACCTACGAGACCTACTGGGTGATCACTTAGCCACGAGCCCCCCATATTTACCTATGAAATAAAATGTTTTATGTATGCTTATGTGATCTAACATCTCGAAATCGTTGTTAAATCTATAATCATCGTAACTTCGCAGAATTTAAATGTCTGGACACCTCATACTACATCGTGTCGGCGCACAACCAAGAGGACGCACAGATGATCCTCTCCAGTGAGAGGAAACCACACTGCTACACGTTCAGAGGTGAGCTCACCACCGCCCTTCAATACCATATTTTAATCTATACTAATATTATAAACCTGAAGAGTTTGTTTGTTTGGTTGATAATCTCAGGAACTACTGGTTCAATATGAAAAAGTATTTTAGTGTTGTATATCCCATTTATTGTAGAAGGCTGTTCATCCCGAGGATGTCGAAAGAGCTGACCAAGGGAGCAAACTACACAGGACAACAGCATGATAATGACGATGATAAAACCTAAAAAAAAATTAATTTACAAACAGAATATTTTTTAAAGCAGCAGGTTTTTCATGTTTTTTTATTAAGTAGATTTTTATTAAAGCTTGGTGCCATTTTAATAAATAACCATTATTTAAAAATAACACTATACTCACTCTTAGAGGTTTATATATCTTGGAAATTTGCGTACATGTGAAAAAAATCTCAAGTGAATTTAATAGATCCCACTAGATTGTTAAGAGCGCGTATAAAGCCAGCAAAATTTAAGAATTCACCCGCGGTCCCCTGCCCGCTCCCTTCACATCGAAAACGATCGCGCGTGTACCTACGCGCTCGCTCGACGCGTATCTTCTGTAGTATACGTATAATAATCAGATGAAACAACTGTACTCAAACTATGACTGCGTTATACAATATTACGAAATGTTTTGTGTACACGAATAATACGTAAATAGTAAGTTAGTAGGAGGTGACTATACCACTGATACTGAACACGAATCAATAAAAAATCAATACCAAAAAATAATATTACATTTATTTCAAATATTCAATCAATCAATCATATCAAATATCAATCAATAAAAAATCATAATAAAAATCATATTCAATCGCGTCTTTCTTATCAATATTCCGTAATTGGTATAATAATTTCTTGTAATAAAGGGCTATGGGGGTCCAGCTGCAAAATTATTTGAACTAACGAGATCTCGGTCTCCTTCAATTATAAATCTTTCAGAAGCAGTACTGCTCGGACCGGGTTGGTCTCGGTCTCCTTCAATTATAAATCTTTCAGAAGCAGTACTGCTCAGACCGGGTTGGTCACGTGATATGTTTAAGGGCCCACTACATATTTTCTCTTCAGGTTTTTTAAAGATTTGCCGCGTCATACAAGGAACCTTTGTTTGATAGAGTTAGTGCTTTTGTCACCGACTTCGAATCGTTCCTATTATCAACTAACCTTAACATTATCAACGTGGGCTCGGAGCCGACATTTGTCACATCCAGGGCCCAAACTATAATTGATCTTACATTAGCAAGTGAGCACGCATCGCAACACATATCGAACTGGCATGTTTCGAACGAAGCATCGTGCTCAGACCATCGCTGGATCAAATTTAACTTTGAAATGAAACTTAAACTACCCGATCCCCGACGGAATCCCCGCACAATGGACCGGAAACGGTATGAAAATCTTACTGCGGAGAAACTGCGAAGCATCAACCCAACATACGCTACGGGGACTGTTAAGGACATTGACAGTCATGTTGTCAACCTTACACAGACACTGATCGATTGCTTTGAACAAACATGCCCACTTTCCACACCCAGAACTGGACCAGAGAACAAACACCAATGGTGGGGTCCGGAACTGGAAAGACTACGTCGTAAAGTGAGAAAGTTGTTCAATAAAGCAAAAAACTCGCGATTAGACCAACATTGGGATGCCTACACGCAGGCCCGACAACAATATAAGAAGAGAATCAGAACCAGGAAAACTGAGTGCTGGGGAAACTTCTGTACTAACATAGAGAACAACAACCAGGCTAATAGAGTCAAAAACATACTGTGTAGTAGAGGCGAACACAATCTTGGCTCACTGAAGAAGCCTGATGGTGAGTATACCAAAACAGACTCGGAAGCCTCAGAGCTGTTATTAAAAACACACTTCCCTGGATGTCACATATCAGATGTGATGGAAAAATAGGAAGACAGATGGGAAAACCCACCAGATGATACAGACTGGGATACGGCCCGCAAAGTTGTCAACCATGACAAACTAAGATGGGCAATTAACAGCTTCCTACCATTCAAGGCGCCAGGACTAGATGGTGTCTTCCCAGGCCTACTGAGATGGTGTGATATGACACTACTGGACCACCTTGTAAAAATTTATAGGGGCTGCCTGGCGCATCAGTACATCCCCTTGAAATGGAGAGAAGTTAAAGTAGTCTTCATCCCCAAACCTGGTAAAGGTGACTACACACAACCCAAATCACACCGACCTATTAGTCTCACATCTTTCTTACTAAAGGTTCTCGAGAGGCTAATAGATAGGGAAATCAGGGAAACTGCGTTAGTCAGTCACCCTCTACACCTCAATCAACACGCATACTGGATGGGTAAATCAACAGAATCTGCCCTACATCGAGTTGTTTCATATATAGAAGACAATCTAAATCACAAAAGGTCAACACTGGCCACCTTTATCGATATCGAGGGAGCCTTTGACAAGACCAACTTCACCAGCATTAGCCAAGCTCTGTCTAGGCATGGTGTTGATTCCACAATCTCAGGGTGGATCGACAGCATGCTAAGATATAGAGCTATTCAATTCACTGTGAGCGAAGTGACTAGAGGAGGGGTGGCTAGAGGTTGCTCCCAGGGCGGTGTACTCTCCCCCCTTCTATGGAACATTGTTGTGGATGAGCTCATCGCACAACTTAATGACCAAAGATTCCTCACAATAGGCTATGCAGACGATCTTACTATTCTCATCAGCGGTCCTTTTGAGAGCATTACATGCGATCAAATGAGACTTGCACTGAAGATCGTGGAACAATGGTGCGTATCACACAACTTGACAGTGAACCCATCCAAAACAGAGATGATCATGTTCACAAACAAACGCAGCCTAGGAAATCTCAGACTTCCCAAGCTATTTGGAACACAACTTACTCTTACCAAAGAGGTCAAATACCTAGGAGTAATTTTGGACAGTAAACTCCTGTGGAATAAGCACCTCGATGAAAAACTGAATAAAGCCTGCATTATTTTCTGCCAATGCAAGCGGCTACTCGGCAAAAGCTGGGGACTATCACCCAAAATTACTTTATGGCTATACAGGACAGTCATAAGACCATTAATCACTTACGGTGCTGTTGTCTGGTGGCAGAGAACAGAGCTAAGCACTGTCATAAACAAACTGCAGCAATTCCAGCACAACGCCTACTGCCGCACTGGAGGTGGCTCTTGGTCTGCCACCCCTGGATCTATTCATACAGCAGGAGGCCGCCATGGCGATCATTAGACTCAAACACCTGGGTCTATGGCACAAAAGTGAGGGATCGCACTCCAAATTATTGGATCAATTTGTGGAATACGAACCACTGATAGGAGCTCCATGCGATAGAATTTCAAAACACCATATCTTCACAAGAACATACTACATCCAGATACATGGAAATGACCGAGATCAATCCGGCATTAACGAAGTCTGAATTTACACGGACGGTTCCAAGACTAGGTCAGGAACTGGAGCCGGAGTTTTCTCGCAAGACCTAAATATAAACATATCACTAGCGTTAGGCCAACACAGTTCCATATTTCAATGTGAATGTGTGGCAATAACTTACGCTGCCACAACGGCCATGTCAAGGGGTATCAAGGACTACAACATCCGAATAATATCCGACAGCATGGCTGTCTTAAAGGCATTGGAGGGCAACACAATGACCTCTGGTATTGTCTTCGAATGCTACCAAGCACTGGAACAGCTCGCTATATTCAATGGGGTACTCCTCCAATGGATTAAAAGGCACAGTAACTCACACGGGAACGATGCCGCAGATGAGTTGGCAAGGAGGGGCTCGGCAACCCCAACCTCTGGCCCAACCCCACTCCTGCCCATATCGTTTAACCAAATACGATGCTGGGTCAGGCAACGGACCTGTGAAGCACACAACCGGAGGTGGAAAAACTCACCCGGCTGTAGACAGTCCAAACTGGTGCTGAATCAATTCACACCACGACTCACCTGCAGACTGATCAGTCTTAGCAGGCCGGAAATCAGAATGGTTGTCGGAACTATTACAGGACATCTAGCCCTGAACCGACAACTATTCATAATCAATGCGAAGGACAGTCACCTGTGCAGGGGATGTCTGGAAGCTGAAGAAACGGCCGTCCACGTAGTCCTGGAATGCGAGGGAGTGGCCACACAACGGGCCAGTATCATTCCTGATATAAAGTCGCTCCTAGAAGCCTGTGAACGCCCCAGGAGGCTTCTGCGCTTCTGGAAGGAGCTTGGCTGGCTCACCTAGCCAACCAATCCTCGACGCATAAAGGACCACTCTGAGTCTAAATGCGGCAACCGAAGCCCACAACCATCGACTTCGAAGCTTGACCTTTGTTTGATTGATGTGGTGTTTTTGTCACCGGCTTCTGAAGCTTGACCTTTGTTTGATTGATTTGGTATTTTTGTCACCGGCTTCTGAAGCTAAAGTTATTTTTCACTTTTTAGTGTTTTTCTTTTTGTATTCGATTTGTGTTTATTTTAGTTAGTTAGTTCCATTGTATATCTCCGAAGACCAGCATCAGATCTTCACCAAATTTAAATGGGACCAAATAAAAAAAGAACAAAAAAAAAAAATGGAGTAATCGCGTAACAAACACACAAAAAAAACATAATAGTCGAATTGATAACCTCCTTCTTTTGGAAGTCGGTTAAAAATAGGTTTTAAATACCTAATGGACATACTTAAATAGCTTCGAAATCGACATAAATATATTTCATCTAACAAACACAGACACCAACTAAAAGCTTGTGTTTATTTTGCATATACTATACCAAACTATACTGCCCGCGTTACTTATGAGTGATATTCCCTTATGGAGAATGTAATTATTATTATTTTAATATTTTTATAGAATACTCGCAAGATCATTATGTAGTCCATACTTCTATCTAGACTTTTGGAAGATATCATAATTACACTAGGGGAAAATAATCAGAATTTTTTATTGTGAAGAATAATATAACAAAAAGCAAAAGTAAATAGCTACCTATTATATATCTAATTTATTACCTCCTATCCTAATAATCTAATAATTGAATTGATAATAACTCAGCGCGCCTAAACACTTGAGCGCAGTCCTCTCGTCTCAACGGAGCGGTAGCGACTGATGTCTGAAAAAGAAATATGCTTGAAGCTCCCGCAACGTGCGACGGACGATGACTTCTTGCGCGGAATAAAAACGTAGTATGCGCCAAAACTGTAATATCGTCTAAATCCAAAACTAAAAGGAATTACATAAAATGCCTTACTCAAACAAAGCCTTTACTCTTGTATAAGTATAATTAATTATCAAATTTTTGTCGCAATAGGCATTACCATATCGAGTACAAAACGGAAAAATATTAGAATTAGAGGTTACTTCGTGATTTTTTTCTATCGAGGAAATGTTATTATTTCATGTTTTTGATCAAAGTGAACCCTCGGAAATATCATGTAGTTATTCATACATTTTTATTTTAAGATTTGGTCCGGAATTTTTCATGTAAAATCAAAAATAAGATTGGTAATTTTGCTTTATACGCCCTCTTAATGCATGCATGTAGGAACTCTTTTTTTTACAGTAACTGTTATTATCATAATGTGTATAAGAGTTTTTAATAAAGTGCCCAAATCAATTCATCTTAGGCAGTGGCCACACTAGCTAAGATGAAGGCGGAATTGAAAAAAAACATGATACCACAAACTTTATATGCTATTTTTATGATCTGAAAGTACGAGATATAAAGAAAAGAAAATTTAAATTTTATTGAATTTTAAATATTGAACCATTTGACATTTATTATCCTATTCTATTTTCAGTTCCATATATTTAATGTATGCATTTAAATAATAATGATTATTTTAATTTAGTTAAGCGTCTTATTTTTTTAATTTAAAATGCATGCAATCGCAATAAAATGATTCAGTACTTCATGTAACATCCATAAATGTACCACTTTTTGCAAATAAATTATTCTTATTCTATTCATCAATCAATCATCATCAGCTATCAATAGGCCACTGCTAAACATGGGCCAATGCCCTCTCCTTAGAAAGGGGGTTTCGGCCTACTATACCACTAACAAGACGGGTGTTATAGGGTTTGTTTCAAGTTTCCCTTCTCTTTGCAGTGCTGTTATTCTGCATTATAATATTATTAAAATATTAGTTAAGATTAATTAAAGAATTTTCTGTAACAAGAACAAAAGGCTCGTAATGCGTATATCACCTAAAAATGTTTATTATGGCAGAAGTATTTTCCTCTATGCACAGGTACTTAAGAAAGTTTTAACTTGTAACTTCACGTCCAGGTGCCTTCGCTTTTATTGGCTTCTACCACCGCCACTCGGAGACTACGTACGTGGGCCCACATGCCGAACAATTCCAAGCCAAAGATCCAAGCCAGGGCCTCTACTGCCATTCAGATGACAACTGGAGTGACGCACAATGTATTTATAAGTAAGTTGTGAAGCGACTTCCACGTACAGTGAAACGAAGAAACATACTACAGCGCCATCTAACGTAGACACAAGCAATTGCTAATCCTGTATCGCGATATGAATAATTCTCTCACCGAATTGCATATGTACAACTTCTCAACCGTAACCATTGGGCCGCGTCCTTTTCGAAGACGCCGCGCCGTTTGGGACCATGGTGTTAATCTACGTATATCTTTTTTGTACGTAGTCAATATGCACCATGGTGCGAACCACAGCAGTACTCTTTTTGATGTAGTTGATTTGTACCAAAACCAATTTTCTTTAAACTATCGTGGTTTCGTACAGTCAAGTGCCAAAGGTTAAGGAACCAAATAAATTATATAAAACGTTTAATATTATCTTGTTAAGACTTATTTATATATCGCCTGTCGTCTGATCAGTCAAAACTACTACTTACTTACCTTAAGTACTTTTGAACGCAATATCATACTATTACGGTTAAAATATTTCAGCAATAACAGACGGAATCGCTTCACTGGTCACTGTTCTAATCTAATCTAATCGTAAAAACTTGCATTAAACTAGGTTTTTACATAAATCTTGTATTACAAATCCATACATATACCTACATGCGCAAATTCTAGGTTGCATAAATAAAACTGAATCCGTTAAAGGTTTTTGTGCTTGACTATCTTATGACACTAAATTATCGGTCATCCAAATCAACTACATTAAAAAGAGAACTGCTAATGTTCGCACCACTGTGCGAATTGACCACGTACAAAAAAGATATTTGTCGATGTACACCATGGTCCCATCGGCGTCTTCGAAAACTGTCTGTGTGTGATTCGCACCGTGGTGTAGACGGCTCGTGGTGTCAATCGACGCGACTCCCAGTAAGGGCCTGTTGTTGAAACCTGTTAAAACTCGGAGCCCTGTTCAATCAGCTTGTACAATAATAATAAAAACAATAACTTCACACATCTCACACATGGTAATCTGATCGTAAATAAGGCAGAGCCTGTACCACGTTAACCAGATGCTGATAAACATACTTATATATTTCTAAATTTAAACATATTGACGATAAATTACACCCAGACACAGAACTAATTGATCGTGCTTATCACACCGTGGTGGTCCAGGTGGAAATCGAACCCACGACCTCTGGCTTAGCAATCAGGATATAATAATAATATAGTTTTTATTATAGACCGTGTGGTGATGGATTAAGAATACAGAGTGTCACCACCCCTATTCATCCCGTGGGTGTCGTAAGAGCCGACTAAGGGAAAAAACTACGCAGGACAACAGCACTGCAGAGAGAAGGAAAACTTGACACAAACCCTATACCAACCCGTCTGGCCAGCGTGGTATAGTAGGCCAAAACCTCCTTTCTAAGGAGAGGCTTATGTCCAGCAGTGGACTATTAAAGGCTGTTGATGATTGATGATGATGATATTATAGACATAGCAGTATGTAACACACACAATCTCCTCACGACGCACACAAAAAAGATGACAAAATACACAGACTTAGCAACGGAAATAAAAAGGCAATGGCAGGTAGATAGAGTTAAAATAGTGCCCATTGTCATATCTACAACTGGTGTAGTACCGAAGACTCTTCAAGATAGCCTCAACACATTGGAAATGCCGAAATCCTCTCTCATACTCTTACAAAAAGCAGTCCTTCTTAATACATGCCGTCTCACACGCAAATTCCTCGCTTCATCCTCATCATCTTAACTTCATATCATCATCCGTTTTTGGCACACTTGGCTAAGGCCCGTGTGTTAGATTTTGTTACCCCTTTAAAATAAAAGGGAGACCAGACAAGGTATAAAATGACATAATAATAATAATTTATTCCATTAACAGTGTTTTTGCACAGTACATAGTTTTACAAATATTACTGTGGGTACATAATACATTTAAATTGGGGCATCTGTGCCTGGACTAGATAAGAAATCTGTATCCCAGACATCAGCGCTTTTCCCTGATTACATCACCTAACTATACCTATACCATTTATTATAACAAAAATTTTACACTAGTTTTAAAAATAATAAATAAACACTAATATCAGATTACTATACAAATATCACTAACCACTACACTAACAGGCCCGTCAAATAAAATATTAGTACCTGTATTACGCTGCGCACTCATTTTCTTTTAGTCATTTTGGTGAATTCAGTGACGGCTACTGTGTATCTTCTATACAAATAAATAAAATTGGAGTGTATGTTTGTAATATTAAAATAACCGCTTTTTACTAAATGCATTTAGCCAAAATAACATTATTTACAATTTTTGTCTGTCTGTGTGTCTGTCTGTCTGTTTGTTCCGGGTAATTTCTGGAACGACTGGACCCGATTTCGACGGGACTTTCACTGGCAGATAGCTGATGACATAAGGAGTAACTTAGGCTACTTTTTTTAGGATAGCTTCGCCCCGCGGCGTTACCCGCGGTTATAACAACAAACGCGGGTAACACCGCGGTTCTCAGCTAGTTGTAAATATTATTGGTCGCCTGTCACGGAATAGAGGAATGCGAAAATGTGACAATACATAATTAACTTTTTTTAAACTATCACCGCCCCCAGTGCGCCGAACTATTATAATTAACCGTAATCTTCATTTTCCACCCTCGGCAACGTATTTGATGAAAAAAATACCACGCCTGAACAGGAAGTACTTAAGCCCTACCAAATAAAAAAAAAATAGTTTTAAAAAACTAAAAAATACGCTTTTAATAGAAAACCAAACTAAAAAATAGAAAATAAATTTTAATAAATTTAAAAAAAAGCGTTTGGTGCCTGTTGTCAATAGTAAAAAGCAATTTCTATTCTAGAATCAATCCTCGCGAAGAGTTTCCAGAATCAGTGGAGTACGAACCCAAGATCTCGTACGTGTGTGGCCCTTACCGATACTTCATCCCGGCCACGACAGACGTCAGGTGTATATTCTCCATATTCTCCATGAACTTCATATTCCGATTTGGATATGACGGCGTTACATACAAGAGCTCGGACCTTTCCTTTGTAAGTCAGCTGTGATAGAAATTTCTAAACATTTTTTTTTGTTTTGGCTGCATATGATTTGAAAGAGACGTTATTAGATTACCTACTCAAAGATCTATAGTAATATTAATACGCGTCCTACATTTCCAAGTCTAATCGTCTAATCTCTCTTCTAATCTAATCATCTAACCCCAAACTAAGCAGAGCCTGTACTATGGTAACCAGACTGCTGATAAACATACTTCTATATTTTTAAATAAATACATTATAGGAAATTGGGAACCCCTGGACTGATTTGGCTAATTCTGTTCTTGAAGAAATGTTAGTTGGCAGTCCAGGAAAGTTTGAAATGTAAGAAAATAGGAAAAAAAGCGATTAAAATAGTAAAACCAACAATTTTATTTGTCCTTTGAAAATGTTTCTTTAAGTCAAACATTTGATCTAGTGCGCGATAACTTTGTTTACATTTGACTTTTTTTATAATTTAGCCTTTTTAATAATATTTTTTTAAAAACTATTACATAAATAGAAAAATAGATTTAATGATACGAAGATCACCGGGTCATTAATAACATTTATTCCTGAATTTGCCACTGCTTTCAAATATAGTACTTTTAAGGTGATATTTAACGTTCTAGATGTATCAGAACGGGCAGGTGTTCTACACAGACGAGCCGTGGGCCGGTATGTCGTGCTGGAACTGGGCCTGCAAGTGGCGCCACAATCAGAACCAGCGCTCGAATGAGTTCTTCATAAATTGATTCGTCCGACATTATTAATAAACTATGAACTAAATTACGAACATATTACTTACAACTGTCCGAAACAACTTTCCAATTAATACTACAATTTTTAACGAGTCAGAACTGAGAGAACTGGAAGAGAACTGGAAATACAGATGTCACACACAATATGGAACCGAACTCATGTAGAAATTATTTTAGGACTGCACTAATGGTGTAGTGGTTTAAGCGGTCATCTCGCCGTGTTCTACTGCGCTGAGTGTTGTGGGTTCGATCTGCACAGGGGACGACACTTTGTGTGATCCACAAAATTGATGTTCTGAGTCTGGGTGTTCCTTGTGTCAGTTTACTGTGTTTTTGTAAAATCCCCCGCGACACAGGATACTTTCCTAGTGAAATAATCGTTCCGCAGGTTTTAATTGAAATATTAGTTTGCTTATGTAACACACAATTAAGTCTGGGTATTTTATAGTATTCTAAGTGACTGCGAACTAGGGAACAATAAAGTATTTTTATTGTTTTAATATTTTTAAAGTCTGCTGAAACTCTGAGTAGGAATCCCAATGCTTTGGAGGCTTTGCTAACAATGTTATAAATGTGTGTATCAAACAGTAGTTTCGAGTCAAAAGTAACACCAAGGTCTTTAATGTTACTGACTCTAGACAATGGGGTATCTAATAATTTGTAAACCTGAAATATTGGGCTATGTTTACGTGTAAAGGAGCACACGTAACATTTATTGACATTTAAATCCAGTTTATTCGTTTTGCAGTACGCCTGAAATCTATTGAGATCTTCCTGTAGTTCTATGGCGTCCTGGACCCTATTTATCTGTTTCATTACTTTCAAGTCATCAGCATAAAGAATATTTTTTGAGGTTAGGAAGCAGTTATCTATATCGTTGATGAATATATTAAATAACAGAGGTCCCAACAGCGATCCTTGCGGGACGCCCGAAGGAATATTTGTAAGTGTTCTTCTAGACGTATAACCATTAAGTACAACAGTCTGACATCTGTTTTCCACGTACGATGTAAACCATCGAAACAAATTGCCGCCGACACCCATACTCAAAAGTTTACGCATTAAGATTGTGTGATCTATTCTATCGAAACATTTACTGAAATCGGTGTATATAACATCGACCTGTGACCCTTGTGACATGAATTTAGAAATAAAGTCACAACACACTATAAGATTAGATGTGGTAGAACGACCCCTTAGAAAGCCGTGTTGGTGTTCACCAAAACCAAGTTTGAGGGCAGCGTAGACTTGTCTGTATACGATTTTTTCTAAAATCTTTGCGAACACACACAGCTTCGAGATGGGTCTGTAGTTTTCAATCATATTTTTAGGTCCCTTTTTATGTATCGGTGTTATATACACCGACTTCCAGATTGTAGGCATCACGCCGGTATCAAGAGACCGCCTATATAGAATAGAGAGAGGGATGACGAGGCTATTGGCACAACCCATAATCAATACAGGCGAGATGTCGTCCGGCCCAGCCGACTTATTAGTATCCACATGATTTAATAAATTATAAAGTTCATCCCTGCTGACTTCGATGGATGTAATACATGAGGCGACCTGTTCAATGTTCTGCTCACTGTTCCGCGAAGAGCTGTCGTGAGGGCTTGTTGAGAAGTTGGAATATCTCCTCACCATCACTAGTGGAATGCTGACCGAATTGCATCACGGTTGGATATTGAATTGATAGTCGTTTAGACTTAACATAACGCCAGAAGGCACGTGGATTTTTCTGAATATTGTTTTCGATGTTAGATATATACTTTATAAATAATTGGTTCTCGAACTCTTTGACCCGTTGACGTAATTTTACAAAGGAGTAATAATCAGAGATGTTACAATATTTTTTGAATTTTGAATGGTATTTGGCTTTTTCTTTTATCATTTTAATCAGCGGGATTTTGTACCAAGGTGGGTATTTAACATAAGGTTTAGTGATCTTACTTGGGATGTGGACGTTACGCAGTCGATTGATGGTGTCATAGAAGTATGTGGTGGCGTCCTCAAGTGATCCAGAGCTCAGTTCGCGGTGCCAATCAACATGATTTAATTCAGCTTGCATCGTGACATAGTCACCCAAATGATAGAAGTACTTACGATACGGACGAGAAGATAGGCTGTGCAGCTCAACAAAGTTAGCGGTGATACATAACGCATTATGATGCGGGTCTTCTGGCACGAGCGGGTCAGTGCATCGCGAGACGCATACCTCATTATTTGACAATACCAGGTCCAGTATCCTATTATTATTATTACTGTGACTATTATATTGTGAAAGGCTGCAGATGTTAAAAGAGTCCACGAGAAAAGTCTGAATGTCACCTTGTAGGTTACTCGGTTCCAATGAACAACTGTCGGCGGCTGGCTGCCAAACAATATTAGGTTGGTTGAAATCTCCCAGGACAATAAATTTGTCTGTAGGGTTCCTAAGAACTAAGTCACTAAGATTGTTTGAAAAAGTGTTCAGTTGTACCATTAACGGACTGCCACGATTGTCGCTGCATATGTACACCACACAAATATGAATTCTATAACACACCTTAGGTTTGCTACGATGTAACGTTAGAGTGATCCATAAGTCCTCCGCCGACGAGCACCAATCCCTGCGAACGTCCGACACAAGGTCCCGTATCACTGCTATTAAAACCCCTCCCCCCATGGACTGGTTCGTGTAACTATAATTCCTATCCCGTCTCCAAACAATGTATCTGTTGTCGAACAATTCGCAATCAGAAATACCATCAATAAGCCAGGTCTCGGTTAAACAAACAATATCATAATTACTGACACACACATTTCTATAAAAAACACTTGTTTTCGTTCGCAGTCCTCGAACGTTTTGATAATAAATACTAATAGGCGCCATCATAAATAAAAGTAATAATCGATATTAGCATTTGAGTTAGAATAAGATAAGAAAAAATACCAAAAAATAAAGTAAACAGCACATTCAGTGAAGGTAGTAAAACATAATTGTATAACATCTGTTTATATTTTAATAGGCAAAATAGGGCTTTAAGTACTAACTGATATGGTTGGTTATTGAAAGTGGATAGGCAAGCGTAAGAATGTGTTTTTAAATTATAGGTCGTCGCTATTTTATGTAATAACAAGCGATACGTAACATTGTGGCAGATATCGTTAAGTCTAAGTTTGCAATAGCTAATGTGATTATAGCGTATGTCACTCAATGGAGCGAGCGCAACAGGCCGGTAAGATTTAAAAATTGTTTTCATTATACGAATAGGAATGTTGTTACCTGTGTTTCTCAATATTAGTGAGCCGATGCAACAATACCACATGCCGGAGTGTTGTACTGACGTTATTAAGATAAGAACTTTTTTAGATCTTGTTCATTTTTAATGTGAAGTCTCGGTGAAGTGTTGTTTTTCCTTATGAATATGTTGCATCCCTGAATCCAAATATGTTCAAATCCCCTATCTTTTGCTTGAGTTTTGGTCTTGTTTAAAAGCATTTTATTTTGCAATGTGAGGTGGTCGTTTATGTAGATTGTGTTGTCCCCCTGGAGGCCCAAGTCACTACTTTTTAAGTTTTTGTGCTTCTTCGCCGCCGAGACGAAATCACTCTTTAAGTAATTATTATGTACGGAACAAATAATATGTTTATTTAGCTTATCATTCCTCATCGGGACTCTTGCAACATAATTTATTTTATCCTTTGGTATAGGGCATTTAATTATGTCACCTATCTTGGCTACTATGGTAAAAAGATTTTCAGAGTTAGTCATCGGCACTCCCTTGATCTCAATATTGTTCATGCGGGATCTCTGTTCGCTCTCATGGTGCAGATTTTCGAGTTTCTCAACGCGATGCTGAAGGGTGTTCACGTCATCTTTGGTTTTCTTGACTGATATTATGTCTTGCTCCAAGATTGACACTTTGCAGGTAAGTGACTCCATTGCTTCGTGTACAAATTCAATGGACGCCTTCATATCAGAGAACTCAGTTCTTATGGCTCTCAACTCCATGAGCTCAGTTTGGATGGCTTTGATGTTATCAATCAGAGCTGGCAACACCTCCATCTGAGCCGACAGACGCTTTAGTTCAGCCGCGATGTTCTCCAGGTCTCCAGAAGACACTTTAATGGAGCCTGTACGAGGGTTAGCTGTCGACAGGGACTTACAGTTGCCGCACTTCCATGTAGCCTTTCGATCCCCAAGCTTCCTCCAACCGACCTCGGTCAGGCCTGCGCAAGGAAAATCGAACTGTCCCATGCATGCGGAACATGTAGCACCGTCCCTTGCCTCAACTTCACAACGCCTGCATTTGAACATTTTACTACGATTTAGAAAACTTTGAGAAACGCAGCCGAATGACACGCTACAACGGAGTGTAAGTACACGAGTGATCGGTTCACTGTCTACCGACAAACTACTAAACCGTAAACTACTCACCTTCTTGCTAACAACAAACGCACTAAATCCTGACCCTTTTTTTTTCTTTTGCTGCGGAAATCCCTTCGGATACCACCTGTCGGTGGCATGTCGGACTCGAACCGACTAAAACCGCACGCCGTCTCGGGTACTAATAGCCGGGGAACCAGGTATACTCTAGAAAGGAAGTCCCTGGTGCCCCGACATACCTCGGGCCATCTACAACAACAGGTAGACGACCCCCCCCCCCGTGTGGGAACCCCATGTTCCCTCTGCTACTAAATCCTGACCCTGATTGATGCGTTTAGAAGATAAAGACAAACGCAGAATATACGAGTACGTGTTTAGACAGGTCAGTAAAAACTTAAGAGTTAGGTAATTGGAGAAATTAAATTGAATTGAATTGTAATGAATTTAAATTGTATTCAATTTATTCCAAAGCCTACTAACGTTAGAATGAAAACAAAGATAGTGTGGCAAAATCGTTTATTTCTTCAACATAGGTAAATACAATTATTGCCGAACTTAAATAAATCAATAGTCCACAATAGGGAAAGCTCCCATTAAGACTTGTATAAATAATGAACATAGGTAC